GTCAAGGCGCAAAACGGGGCCCCGGAGAGCCCGCACCGTACACACGCGTCCGCGCGCGCCTTCCCCTTCCCCCCCCTCCCTCCCCTTTAAGGCTGGGGATGGGGGGGGGGTCTGTCCGGCCCTCCTCCTTGGGGTCGGCCTTCACGGACGGGGCCGGGCCAAACGCCTTCAAGGCGGCCTCGGCCCCCGGCAGCGCGCGAACCGCGCCGAGGACGTTTTTCAGGGACAGCCCGCTCAGCGGGATGCCGTGGAAGTGCAGTTTGCCCTTGAGAAGGCCGGGAAAGTTCAGCTCGGCCGCCCGATCGGCGAAATCCCGCAGGGCCTCATTGCAGGCCATTCGCCAGACCCTCGTGATGGCGCCCTCAGCGGTGTAGCGTTTTCGCACCGGGTCATCGCTGCGGGTGATGGTAAAGACGGGGGTCGGGGAATCCCCCGGGCTCTGGCCGATCGTGGCGGTGAAGAAGAGGTCCTCGCAGACGTGGCCGTTGGCGGTGTCGGGATTTCGCCGGTCGTCCTGTGAGGACGCAAAGATCACGTGGGCTGTGGTGCCACGTTTGGCGTCGGGCTCTTTCGGTGGGCAAAATACCGGACGTTCGACTTCGTAGCCAACAGGTAATAAAATGGGGACATAAGAATAGATCCGAACAAAGGCTGGGCTGTGGTGGATCGTCCCAATCGTATTCACCTGAAGCATTACACAGGTCTATTGTATAGTCTGCCTTTTTTTTCTGAATTTAAAAAATGTTAATTGGAAAGTTATACAGATATCTATAAGTTTTATGTGAAATGTAGAGTTAAAAGAAACAGAACGTTTGTCTTTCTAGTTATGGCCTTTCTGAAGTGGTAAACCCAGCTGCTTAGCAGAGTACCAAAAAGCAAAGAGAAGATCAAAAGGCGAACTTCAAGCGAACTCCTATCCCACAAGAAGTAAAATAAAAAGAAAAAAGCAATAGACAATAGAGTGAAAACACAAGTATAGAAATAGGATTCCTTTTGGTTAAAATAAAAATAAATACACAGTCTCGGATAAAGCATTCATAAAGTGAAAATGAAAGCGTGTCTTACTATACTGATCAGGTGCGT